CCTAGGCGACCAATAAATGTTGATGGGTTGCAGGTGTAATTGCAAACATGTCAGTTAATGTATATGATTCGAACTTGTCTTTCATATAATTAATTTGCGCTTTTGCTTTGTTCCGGATACGGTTGAGTTTCATATTGGCCTTGAAATATTGCTGTATACCTTCGTGATTTTCAGAGTTTTCAATCGATTACTCACAAAGACAGATTCTATATTATTTGCTTGCTAACAGATACTTGCCGAACGCATTTATCAAAGTGGTGAGTGGCAGGCGTTTCTTTTGGTGCAAATGGTGGTTTGGGTCATATATGAAAAGTCACCTAAACAGAAAACTCCATTGTCGAATCAAATGAGCTCCAGAACAAAAATCAACGAAGAATATGCTTTTCAGCAGTTAACAAAGTTCAATAATAATTTACCTTTTTGGACAGTGCTTAAGCACTGCATTCTACGGTCGTATTTCCGTGTATTTTACACTTTCACACGGTGAAGTCATCTAATTCACATTGGTAAAAATTACTGATATTTTTCTATCACAAGCGAAAGTATATGCCTTGCTCAGCAGAGTTGCCATGCAAATACTGGTATTTTGCTGCAATTTAATGTTTTTATTGATCCACTACTAAATTAAATACGCAGAAACTAGACCGCACGAAACAGTGCTTCAAGTCTTCAAAACTGAAAAACCTATTTGGCGATAAACATTCTAATGCCAACCCATAGAATTTACCAAATTTTAAACAATTTCGGCTCATTTAATCAAGGCTTGCCTTTATGCGTTATTATTGCAATTTATGATACGAAATCGCACAGATTTGCAAATCTGGCTTAAAAATCGGTAAACTGCTAAATCTCTAAGGCCTCAAAAATTCTCATCTCAGTTCCTGTCATCGCATTTCATGAGTTAGGTCACAAGCTGTATGATACGTTATGTTTCACATTTTACACACCGATAGCAAACGGTCGGGTCTAACCACACTTTTTCTTATGACCGTGAAAATAAATAGCTTGTTACCAAATTTGAAAATCCGAACTGAACCCACAATTTCACCCTCAACTTCTCCACACATATCAAGGTCATTTAAGCACTATCTGGTTTGATTTTGTAGTGTAATATAATCCTAATGTCTGTAGATTATAGCATGTTCTGTAAATCTTTATCCTTTTTATTTAAAATTTGTTAAGGGCAATGAAATGACTCAATAGTCGTTTTTCCTTTTAAATTCGCCTTCTGAAACCAGGATCTGGTAGTATACTGTTCATTTAGAGAACCAAATCTGAGACGTGGCGGTTAAATAAAAACTCGTATATTGAATTAAATATCCTTCTCTGCCTCCGGAAGGTCTTGAAATTATTGCGACAGCAGTCAGTTTTTTTAGCTTCTTCCCCTATTGAGTCACATTTCGTAAAGTTGGTTTGCATTTGGAGGCTTTTGGCTTCAGGGAAGGTAGAACGGAACTCAATTTACGTCACTCAAACCAAGAGAAAATTTACTAGTGTTCCTATTGCGCTCAACACTATACGTCACTACGCTTCAGGAATGAGATTGTGCGACTAAGCCGCAAGCTGACAGCTAGACTCCCGAAAAACGCCTCATTTGCTTGACGTTCTTTATTTCGATTAAAAACATCACGCCACTGAAACAGATAGAACAACAACTCGGACGGCTCCAGCTGGAAGAGTTAGAGGTCGACTGGGTACAGTAGTCAAACGTTAGATGACATAAACGAGGTACTGGAACTAGACGTTGACCTCTGAAATACATCGCCAACATGAAAACGGTCACCTTTTCCAACCCAGGGCTTTCTTCTGATTCAAAGTACGGGGACACGCCATCAGGTCTGTTCATTATGGTTTATTGTCTTTAAACGACTCGCTATCCCCATCTTTGCTCTGAAAAAGAGGAGTAAGTTAAAAGTTAATAAAAACAATATCAAGATGCTACAGACCTAAAGTCAATTATTAATGTAATAAAATGTTAACCGAAATTCTGGATTGCGTTTCCAATTGCAAGCTGTATACTTTCAAATCATATATGCCCTTGAAAATGTATCATATAGGGGGCATAGAGTTTGAAATGGATGTGAAATATGTCTTATGTCTTATAAGAGTGATTAATAAAAGGGCTGGTATGATGTAATTAATCGAAGTCCTTATAAGCATACCTTCCGGGAGGAATCACGCGATGTAGAATAATCTGAGTCTGATGTAGTGTTCAGACTCGAGCTTGTGGCAGTTGAGGACGTCCTCGTCGAGACTCTACTCCTCTATTGAAATGAAAAAATAATTTAGATAAATAAACATTGTGGTCCCTCTTAAATGTGTTGCTGATAATATGCCGCTTGGCGAACGACCGCCCACTGGAGCTGGAGGACTGATTTAAGTTAAGTAACTGTGTGAACCTGCGAAGTAAGTCTCTTTTTCCCTGTCACAACTACCAATCCTATCCGAAGAGTGCCTAAATAGCGATTATGAAGAGTAAGCGTGTATAGCAGATCATAAGTAGCCCAAAGATTTCTAATGATTGTTTTCAAAGAACAGCCCTGGACACTAAGCTGCCTTTAACCGCTCAGTAAGATTTCAAACTCATTAAATTGTCGTTTTTAGACTATCTGCTCCCATAAGAAGTACGGTTCGAGCCCTCTCCTTTCAACTCTATAGGGCTCCATTATACGCAGATCGCGGGGCTATAATCCCTTAACTCATATAATGAAATACGATGATAGTGCTAGGGATTTACACTCCCACCATCATAAGCAAGCTAAAAGGTGCCTAAAAAAGGAACAGGCTATTTCAACTTCTGGGTTATCATCGGGTGCTGTAAATGTGATGAAGAGCTCAATCAGTGGCCGACAGCGTTTCCCACTTCGGCCGAAAAGTCCACAGAAATTATGAGATACTTACGCCTTCTTTCGCTGCTGTGTCGGTGTCCAGCTTATACATGCAACTTAGAAGAGGCGACGTCAGTTGTTCAACTGCCGCATTCTCCAGCGTCTTTTTATGAACCGTCACAAGGTAAAGCCGATGGTAATAAAGTATCATATTGGGCTTCAGAAAGGTGTAATATATTGTGTCAACCAGGCACTTGAAAAAAGGAAAAAATATAGTAAAAATGTGCACATGACAACTGAAAATCACCCATTACAATGATGTTATATCGGACTCTGGCAAAATATAAATACTTTAAAGACTACCTAAGCAAAGGCCCAAGGACCAAGCACATGTAGTTGGAATCGAGTATTTGTGTCTTGTCTTTCAACATAATATCAACTTGAAATACCGCTTCGTCAACAATTCTTCAATTCTAAATCTTAATGATTTACCTATTCAGGAAAATTCTTTTGGCTGACAGAGACGCCACAATATCAAGAACTTTCATATAATCGCATATTTATAGGCCGGCCAACGGCTTAAAAATCGGAATAAAATTAGCACATGCCATTGTAATCATATCATTTTGTGTGTAACAAGAGAATTTTTCTTTTGCTAAATTACTTTATGGCGTTTGGGGACGGTTGGGTTCGTCGCGTTTTAGAAAGTCTTGTTCGGTTATTCTCCTCTGACAGAACATTACCTGTGGCTGCACAAGAATAGCCTGGTAAACTATTAACACTGGAAATTGTCCAAATATAAGGCTGCAAAAATTTCTGCTCAAATTAGCAAACAGTTTGCCTGGTAACATTACACAGAAACCTCCCCTATAAGAAAAAGAACATTCCCTGGGACGGGCCAGGCAAATGAGCAAAATGAACATTTAAGGTACTTCAAATTATCATCTCAATTTCCGTGATCACATGCTGCATAAATGGCACACAACCAGCGACGCCAAGCAGATGCATTTTCCATAATTTTGTTGCTGTCGAAAAGTTAAGTTCCAGCCTGACGTGCATGAAACCGTCGACTTGGAACCCGGCATATCTCTTGCAGTGCGTTGCCATGCCAACGTTTCGTATTATCATTCTCGGCACGATATCCGACTAGTAAAGAAATCGAAATTCATGAACGGAGATCAGATTTGTCCCCATGATAGTCATACATTTTCGTGTAAACCAACTGGTTCTCTCTTATTTAACTATATTCTAACCACGGTAAATAAAGGACATTATGTCGAAAAGTACGGGATGATACTTTGAAATTGAAAGCATTTTTTCTCTCTCTCCCTCTCTAAAAAATATTGAAAAAGCGGCCTTCGAATTTTGGACCTTTTCAGGTGATACTGGAGTCTTTTCTGCTGAAGAATGATCACCTATCTTAACATGTGAGTCTTAATGTCGTTTTAGATCTTATACAATACGGAATGATAAGTAGCAGAATGGTCTGGTTCTCAAGGTCTGCTTACCATAACAAATACGGACGAAAACGTTAGGCCGACAAAGTTGTTGCTTCCCACACTTGTATCCCCGTGAGTCATAAAGCTCATCAGGATTAGAATGACAAGGCCACCCAGGGCATTTATGGTACATCCCAGCCACTCAGCCATGTAACGGTGGTTTGCACTTCGTAGATGGTCCACCAGAAGGATAAAAGTGAGCACTAATATCACGGCAGTTGGACGCACCACCATAATCCGGAAATGGATCGGCATGCACCTTAAAGATATGAAAAATGAAAATCTCGAATTACAGTTGGATCATTTAGTATACTCCAAAGCACACGTTATATATATATATATATATATGTCATGATACCGACAGAGACGAATGAAACCGGAATGGCCAATTCTAGCTTATTAACTGTCATCAGCCATTCATACCCAACCCCAAACGTGGATCGCTTGAGATTCGAACCTAGGATCTTTGGTCATGGAGTTTGACACTCTAGCACTGAGCCACGGGCTCGTTGCCTTGTCCATTGTGATCAGAAATAACAATCATGACGGCTGGGCGCTCACCGATCGGCTTACGGAACATGCTTGTTTTGTTGTGCTTTGCGGCTCATGCTAGAACCCTCTATGACCAAAGATCCCGGGTTCAAATCTCAAGTGATCAACACTTGGGGTTGAGTATGACTGGCTGATGACGGATAATAAGCCAGAGATGGTCATTCCGGTCTCCGTTGTCTTTGTGGGTACCATGTCATTAACTTTTGCTACTAGTCGCTGTGCGACTGCCTGCGAGAGTTCTGCTATGAGCCCCAAGGCACAACGGAAGAAGCAGGTTCCGTAACCTGATTGGTGAGCGCCCATCTATCATGGTACGCATATCTCTATATATATTCAACAAGGTACGATGTCTGTATTTGATTGCAGTGTCGGTTAGCAGAAAACAGATTAAAAGCTACTGACTATATGAGCACTCACTTTTGGTTGGGAGTTATTTCAGCCGCCTCCAGAAATTGCACTCGAAAAAAAACACCAATTACTTCGTGTGCTGTCATTTTCATAACCTTTTGGAGTCTATATCAATTGCACTATGTTTTCGAAATGATGCAGAAGGCTTAATATTTGCAGAATGGCATTACCGACAAAGACAAGGGAGACTGGAATGGCCATTTCTGGCTTATTAGCCGTCGTCAGCCAGTCATACCTGACCCCGAAGTGTGGAACACCCGAGGGTCGGTCTCACAAACTGTTTGTTAAAAGTCCACGCCTCTAACCACTGGGCCACGAGCCCGTTGCCCTGTCGGTTTTCGATCGGGAATATACAATGTTAGGGGGCGCTCACCGACCGTTCTAGGAGCGGATGCTCTCGGATAACAATACTTAGTTATGATGATTTGTGAGACTTAGACAGACTTACTTATAATCAAGCAGAATCAGGCGCTTGAAAGTTGCTCATGAATAATGCTCGTTAGAAAATGTTAAGAATTCGTGATATTTCCTATACAGGGGCCTACTAATTTTGCTCAAAAAGCATACAAAATGACCTATTCTACAAGTGAAGAGTCAAAATGGCGAACACGTGTTTTTAGTAACTCTTCATCAGGCCAATAAGGTTACATAGAAGATTAAGTTATGCGAATTAAATGACTTATAAGTTATTCGGGGACAATTAACATCCATCGTTCCCACGCCACTCGCATGACGAGGCGTGCTATGGCGTGGTCGGCGTGTCGTGGTCATTGGTTAAGGGGGCGAGGGAGAGGGGGAGCATAGGCTGTGAGTACGTCGGATACGTTGTGCACACACCCTGCCATCAGGAGGTTGGGGCGACTTTGGGGTCGGCGTTGGCCACGGAAGACAAAGCGCCTGTGTCAGAGTCTTCTGACAGCATAGCACTGGATTGGCTAGCCGTATAGCCACTGCCTCGGCTGTAGCTAGCACCCGTTGGCGTAGGCCTCTGGAGAAGCTTGCTGGTGTCCGGTAGACAATCCGAAAGGCTTCTTTGGCATCGACTCGGTGATTCGTATCGACAAGATGTGCGAGAATAGAACTCGAGATTGATTTCTTCTCACCTTTGCCTAGCCAGGCCGGTATGTGTTCACGTACTCTCTTTTCCAAGCGCCTCGTTGTACGGCCAATGTATCCCGCTCCACAGGAGCAAGTGAATGAATAAATGCACATCGATGTGGCCTGCAACGGGAGTCGGTCTTTACCTCCCAAGCGTAGGAGGGGAGAGTTAGTGAAACGTACACGTAAGTTCGCCGCGGGGAAGGCGCTAGTGATCGCTGTCTTCAGACGTCTCCTTACTAGGTCACTTGCTGCGTCCCCTTGAAAAGGCAGTCTTATAAATAAGTCCTTCTTTTCTGCAGTTGCCATGGTAGGCTTTGCAGTGCGCTCCCCTATGTTTCGGAGGATAAATCTTTCTGGGTATCAGTTTTCGTGGAGTGTATCCCGCAGCTGCTGGAGTTCTGCCTCCACAGTCTCAGGAGAGCAGATACGTCGCACTCTAGCTGCCAATCCCTGGACCAAATGGCGTTTCATATTTAGGGGAACAAAACTGTGAAAATTAATGTATTGTCCCGTCCAGGTTTTCTTTCGGAATACCCTACGTTGGATAGACCCATCCTCTTGTCTGTGCCGAAGAACGTCGAGGAACGCGATTTCATTGTCTGCCTCAAACTCTGCAGAGAACGTTAGCGAGGGGTGTGAATTGTTGAATTTTTGAATCAGGGCGTCTGTGTCAGTGGTAACATCCGCCAGGCAGAAACTATCGTCCACGTACCGACCGTAGAAGCTGAGGTCATTGATGGTGTCTTGTAAGCTTGTCATCTCGACTTTGCCCATGACGACATTTGCGAGGAAGGGGCCGAGCCGTGAGCCCATCTCTACGCCATCTATTTGCATGTACAGTTGACCATTGCAGAGAAACTGGACGTTTTGCGTGCACCGTGTCAGTAGTTCTTTTAGCGTCTCCAACGGCATGCCTAACGAGTAGTTCGAGTCGCGGATAACGTCACAAAGGTAGTTTATTGTTTCGGCTACGGGTACATTAGTAAACAGTGATGCTACGTCTAATGACAGCATCCTCCGTCCGTCAACGTTAATATCCTTAATCGCCTCGACAAACTCGAAGGAGTTTTTCAGACTTAGGGGGTACAGATGACTTTGCAACGGTTTAAGATTTTCGACTTGCCACTTTGCTATGGTGTGATAGGGCGAATTCCTCATATCCAGGATTGGACGTAGGGGTAGCCCGTGTTTGTGCATTTTCGGAAGGCCGTACATTCTGGGTACGGCTGTGCCCACTGGTCTTAGTCGCTCATATTCTTTGTCAGATAAATGACCTTCTTTGTGAAGAACTTTGAGAACCGCCGTCAGCTGACCTTCAACGGCCTCGGTGCGGTCCCTGTCTTTCTCGGATTTCGAGAATTTGGTACGATCCGACAAGATTGCTTCTAGTTTTTCTACGTACTCCTTTCTATCCATCAGTACATCTCCTGAACCCTTATCCGGCCTGGTTAGCACAATGTTTTCGTTTTTACGAAGTTCGCTAAGGCTATCGAGATGGGCCCTTGTTAAGGGACCTTTGTTTTTGGGAACCTTCCTTAAGTACTGTTGACAGCAATTAACCATAGTCGACTTCAGATAGTCAACTTCTCTAGGCCCGCTAGGTTTTAGATCGGCAGTCTGACTGATTAGACTTTCCAATTAGACTTCTAACTCTAGCTGCTTCGGCATCCGCCGTGCATTGCAAAACTTAGGACCAAGAGATAGTACCTCTATGAGAGTTTTGTCAAGCTGTACTGAGGAATAGTTATGAACGTACTGTTCCGGATTATTCGGAAGGGCCGTCTGAGCCTTCACTGGTTGGACACTTCGAAGGAGCTTAGTCCATCTCGCCTCGATTCTTTTACTTCTGACAACTTGCACGTAGTTTTCAAACGCCAGTCTCTCGCAATTTTCATGATGGTCTAGGGCCGCTGTTCTCTGGCACAGATTCCGTTGGAGTTCTTCAATTCCGGTGCTAACTGTCTCCAGGTGACTTTCTGTATGTCGTCTTAGTGCGGCTGGGGTAGCCGCAATATGGTTCCTTCGTAAGGTTTTCCAATATTGTTTCGGATATTCACCCTTGTCTATACATCCTGATTAGAATTTCCTCGTCACGTGTGCCTCCGCAAGTCTGGTGTCAAACTTTAGGAATCCATTGAGTTCCTTTAACACCGAGGGATCTTCGAATTGTCTTCGTTCAGCGAATATCCCCATGTTACAATTGAAGAGTCAAATTGGCGAACACGTATTTTCAGTAACTCTTCATCAGACCAATACGGTTACGTAGAAGATTAAGTTATGCGAATTAAAGTTATTCGGGGACAGTAAACATCCATCGTTCCCACGTGCATGTTTCACTAACTCTCCCCTCCTACGCTTGGGAGGTAAAGACCGACTCCCGTTGCAGGCCACATCGATGTGCATTTATTCATTCACTTGCTCCTGTGGAGCGGGATACATTGGCCGTACAACGAGGCGCTTGGAAAAGAGAGTACGTGAACACATACCGGCCTGGCTAGGCAAAGGTGAGAAGAAATCAATCTCGAGTTCTATTCTCGCACATCTTGTCGATACGAATCACCGAGTCGATGCCAAAGAAGCCTTTCGGATTGTCTACCGGACACCAGCAAGCTTCTCCAGAGGCCTACGCCAACGGGTGCTAGCTACAGCCGAGGCAGTGGCTATACGGCTAGCCAATCCAGTGCTATGCTGTCAGAAGACTCTGACACAGGCGCTTTGTCTTCCGTGGCCAACGCCGACCCCAAAGTCGCCCCAACCTCCTGATGGCAGGGTGTGTGCACAACGTATCCGACGTACTCACAGCCTATGCTCCCCCTCTCCCTCGCCCCCTTAACCAATGACCACGACACGCCGACCACGCCATAGCACGCCTCGTCATGCGAGTGGCGTGGGAACGATGGATGTTAATTGTCCCCGAATAACTTATAAGTCATTTAATTCGCATAACTTAATCTTCTATGTAACCTTATTGGCCTGATGAAGAGTTACTAAAAACACGTGTTCGCCAATTTGACTCTTTAAAATGACCTATTGTTGTAGACTCAATGTCCAATTTTAAAACACCTGGAAAAAGCTGGAAGGCATGTTTTTAATTTCAAGGCGCACTAACACATCTGTTTATGTGAACGCGACCCTGTCTTCTAACAGAATAGCACAGAACATTTAAACTGAGTATCGCATTCAAGGTATCATGCGTGAGTGATGGCATGCATTCGAATGCGAGGAAACAAGCATACCCAGCCTATATAATGATCCTGGGTAGAATTCGACATGCACAAGCGCATGAAAATCTTATCGGAACATGGCATCTAATTTTCACGGTTAAAAAATCTAGCAGGTCTAAACGACTTTTTACACTGAATTCAAGTTTAGTGGCCCTCAAAATGTCTCAAGACTACCAATAAACATTAGAAAATGTGATAAACGCTCAAAGATTTGAGACCAAACATAGAAAAACCGCCAAAAGTACTTTGAGACGTAGTGGCGGAAACAGTCACGAGCAGAAAAGGGTGAGGTTAAACTTGCATATCTATCAGAAGGCTGTTGGAGTCCTCGACGTTTTCGCCTTCATAACAGGGACTCCTTGCAAAAATCTCTTGCAAGCAAGTCGTCCTGTACGAAGTTGCCGAAAGCCATAAATATCTTAGGCCTCAGCCTATCCTATTCAGGGTAACCGTCGACGACGGCTAACGGTCAGTCTACAATTTCCCAGGCGTATGATTTATGTAAAGTCTAGCGTTGTAGGTTCTCGAATTAGGGGCCTTTAAATCGGATAGTCCACGTCGAGGCTAACAAGGTAAATTGGCAGTCCAGAGCATCAGAGAGTGTTTCGGTTAAGATCGCATTTTCAGCAAGTGCTGTAACACTGCCTAACTCACCCGCTGTTTAAGAATTTGTCACTGTAGTGCTTCCGCATCACCTCGTTGACCACCCTTGTAGCAACTAAAGTACCAAAAATAAACATTTAAATTTGATTCAGTGATACCTTTAGGATTAATCGGATACGCTCAACTCAAAAAGACCTAAAAGAAAGGCAATAAATTGGATGTGGGAATAGAAGGAAACATTGGAGGGTGCTTACTGAACGCCCCGATGGTTAGATTAAACATCAAGCCTTCCAGCTGTTGAGTCCTCTTTGCGAG